AAATGAGCAAGAACGCTCATTTGTACATCATTCTAGACAGAAATAAATGGCCTTTTTAGAAAGTGAACCATGGATGGGGAAATGTTGACAGTTTTGTCAAAAAAGGCTTGGATTGAAGAAGTTTTAGATTTGCGTGGTTTTTTTTTTTGAGTTTCAAAATCCCTATGCATGACCCCCCCCCTGGATCCGCCCTTGGGCGTGAATAAATGATTTTGATCACGTTGACCGGTCCAAATCAGTATGATAAGGAATTATTTTAAAAAATCTACAAAATCCTGGTTTTTTTGTTATTGAAGGACTTGTTCGTTAGGAAGGCCAACTTTCTGTTTACTTTTGTTAAAGACTTTTCTTATGCAAAGATGCTTTCTTATGAGTCGTTATTTGATTAAACAAAAGCAAGGAAAATATAGCGAATTCTTAGTAGGTCAGACAAATGGTAATATTTTCTGTTTATTTTTCCTATTCTATTCTTGGATTGTTAGTTGCATAGGGGAGGGGGTATTTGCATTGAAAAACGTGATTTGCACAATCTTTTTGTATTATTTTAACAAATTTTTAGGCTGTTAACTAATGTTTCTTTATACTACAGTAAATCATTGTCTGACTGAGTAGTCGGGCAAGTTTTAACATTCACTAATGTGTATAATATTAAAGTGTGTCCATTTACAGGGTTAAATTTAGTCAGTCGATCCCGAGAGTTGCTTTCGGGCCACCCGTATCACTCCCAGCAGCAGCAGCAGCAGCATCAAGCGCCACCCTCATCGGCCTACACAGCCATGGACTGCGACTCGTCCCCATCGGTGGCACGGTCGCAACCGCACCTTCATCGGGTTCAGCCCCAGCAAGTGCCCCAAAGGTATCACTAGTGTAGCAGGCCGTCTTGAACCACGGCTCTGTGCCTCGGCTCGGATTCGAGAGCAGTGCGGTCTTGGCAGACTCTGTGCTTGTGTTCTTCCGAGGGCCTCTGGCCGAATTTGCAATTAAAAGTGCCATCGGGTTTGCTCTCGAGAGCCTGTTGCTCGCTGTTAGAGCCGCCCCTCTCGATTTCAGGTGTAGTGAACCTCAACTATCACCAAACCCAGAAAATGGATGGCTGATAGTCGACGTCGATCTACCACATACAGACTGTTGATGAGAGACAAATCTGATGTCATTTGCAAAGGGAGAAGTGCATGAAAAGTATTGTGATTAGTTGTTGGCCGAGTTAAAGTGGCTTACATTGTTGAATGGAACGAGTGGGCAAATCATTACTTGGAGTAAGTTGGCGAGTTTTAAGATCTAATTTACAACTAGTGTGTAACTGTAATATATAGAACCACGTATTCTATACAGGGGGTTTCGAATTGAGTGGGCTCTCCTCTTATCTGTCTATCACTTGATTTGAAATTGCCCACGTAATTCGAAACTGTTTGTACGCGTTTGCCTATACTTTTCGACATTGACTGTACAATTTATTTGAAGTTGTCTGGTTTTGGGAGCTAATAATCAAGGTCAGAATGCCCACGGCAACAACGATTTGAGGGTTTTCTGCATCTCATTTGGCGTGAAAGTTCACCACCAATGTACCAGCATGTAAGTACATTGGTGTTTGAACAGCGGAAATAATGTGGCAACTTCAAAGTAATTGGCTCTGGTTTTCGTACCGTTTTTCTTTATGTTTAGAAAGCATCATATTTTGATACATTTTACAAAATCAAGCCAACACAGATACACAGATAAGCAAGCAGTATTAAGTTGCAGCTGGAAATCGTGAAATAATTTGTCTACTACAGAAATACCTCAGCATTCAGATTTGTAAATAATGATATTAAGAAATAGTTTTGCGGCAATCCTATATGAATAACCAGGGCCAAAACTCTACCACTAGAGGACAATGTGTTCAATTGCAATGCGATGCAAACGGACCAGTTTGGGGGGCGTTCAGTGTAGTCTCGCTTCCGCACTAGGGGCTTGTCTCAATCTATATACGAAGTCCTGCTCTGTCCAGCTCCATTTTTTTTTCATTTTTTTGTTACTTGTTTAGAGCCTCTTCAAAGTCACGCCACCCTCCAAACTGGCGCGTTTACGCGACATACTTTACATACTTTACCAATGTAAGTCCAGATTGTTATAATTTTAAGTAAAGTAATTCTAATGTAGGGGATGTCACTTCGATTTTGTACATATTGATCCCTTCAGTAAGTCTTGTAATTTGTTATTTATAAACACGTTTAATTTATTTCTTTTGCTTCATAACATGCAATCGTTTCCCAGTCGCTGCGACCGATGAGGTTTGTTAATGACGTCGTACGAACAGTCCGTAAACTAGTAAATACGATAGTCTAAATTTTACATAAACCATCATCTATAAATTCCTACTTGCTCTTAAATAAATTTACAATCGAACTTTGCTTTTTATTTGATTAAACTGAAAACTCTCCATTGCTCCTGATTAATCATTCTGCTGCCCTGATACAAACGAAAATCTACAGGTGCCGCCAGCACTTTTCCATTAGAGAGCTGTTACACTCAAATTCGAAGTAACCGAACGCTAACGCTAAAAGTGCCTCCTCGTCCTGACATCCCTTAAACATGCTGCTGCCTTGCTACAAATGAAAATTTGCCATCAAAAATTTCCTGATACACTGTTATGGAAAGAATCCAAAAGGCCCAAAAAACTCCAGAAGTTGATCTAATAAAAAAATACAAATAGAAATAATTATTCATATATTACATAAAGCCATCAATGCAACATGATGCAGACACTACCGTTGGGACACCGAATACACAATTTATATATTCTTTATCTATACAAGGGTGTCTCAGAAATAAGAACCGCAAATTCAGGGCTAAATAAACCGTGCGACCAATATGAAAAAAATCCAAATATTTTTGGGTACTAATAATAATCAAAATTAATTCCTGGGTTTCATTTTCATCAGTCATTTATTGTCTATCAATTAAAATACGTTTCGGTGTATTTTTCCACCATCATCAGTTTTTATGTGTAGCGTTGTTGCTACTTTAAGCCTTGGCATACATTTGGAGTATTCATTTTGTCCATTTTCTTCCATTCCACAAGGTGAAATTAGATTAGATTTCGCTTTGGGTCCAAAATGGACAAAATGAATACTCCAAATGTATGCCAAGGCTTAAAGTAGCAACAGCGCTACACATAAAAACTGATGATGGTGGAAAAATACACCGAAACGTATTTTAATTGATAGACAATAAATGGCTGATGAAAATGAAACCCAGGAATTAATTTTGATTTGGAATTGAAACAGTCAGTCAGGAAAGTATGTACTAATAATAACATTAATAATACTAATTGAGTTTCTAGGGCAGATTTTGAAAAATTATCAAAAATGTAGTTGGCTCGGGTTTAGAACCAAACTTTTCAAACTCATAGACTTAACCATTTTGTATAACGGGTGAGAATTTCAAGTTGCTACTGGCTCCCACTTAAAAGTAAGCCGTTTCGAAATGGAGGCGCGCTAAATTAAAAACATTCTAGTTTTAGACAGATTTTGAAAAATTGTAGAAAATCGAGCTTGCACAGCTTGAGAATGAAACTTATCACATCTCTAGATTAGAGTTTCTTCTATAACTTGAGTAGTAAACTTCAAGTAGCTACCTGGTCACAGTTAAAAGTAGTCGATTTTAAAATGCAGACGCGCCAAATGAAAAACAGTCTAGTTTTGGGGCAGATTTTCAGACAATGACAAAAATCGAGCTGGAGCTTGTTTAGAATGAAACTTTCCGGATTGATAGATTCAGATTTGCTCTATAAGACATGGGAATTTCAAGTCGCTACTTGATCGTCTTTAAAAGTGAGCCATTTGAGAATGCAGACGCGGCAAATGCAAAACAGTCAAGTTTCTAGGGCAGATTTTGAAATATTATCAAAAATTCAGTTGGCTCGGGTTTAGAACAAAACTTTTCAGATTCATAGATTTAACCTTCTTGTATAACGTGTGAGAATTTAAAGTCGCTACTGGTTCACATTTAAAAGTAAAGCCGTTTAGGAATAGAGGCGCGCTAAATTAAAAACACTCTAGTTTTTAAGCAGATTTTGAAAAATTGTAAACGATCGAGCTGGGACAGCTTGAGAATGAAACTTATAGGATTTATAGATTAGAGTTTCTTCTATAACTTGAGTAGTAAACTTCAAGTAGCTACCTGGTCACAGTTAAAAGTAGTCGATTTTAAAATGCAGACGCGCCAAATGAAAAACAGTCTAGTTTTGGGGCAGATTTTCAGACAATGACAAAAATCGAGCTGGAGCTTGTTTAGAATGAAACTTTCCGGATTGATAGATTCAGACTTGCTCTATAAAGACATGGGAATTTCAAGTCGCTACTTGATCGTCTTTAAAAGTGAGCCATTTGAGAATGCAGACGCGGCAAATGCAAAACAGTCAGTTTCTAGGGCAGATTTTGAAAAATTATCAAAAATGTAGTTGGCTCGGGTTTAAAACTTTTCAGATCCATAGATTTATATTCTTCTTGTATAACCTGTGAGAATTTCACGTTGTGCAAGACGTGTCAAACTTACAGGATTTCTAGATCAGAGTTTCTTCTACAACATGTGTAAACTTCAAGTAGCTACCTGGTCACAGTTAAAAGTAGTCGATTTCAGAATGCAGACACATCAAATGAAAAACAGCCCAGTTTTGGGGCAGATTTTCAATTCATATTATTATTATTAATTAACTTTATTTTCAGGTGTTGAGTTTCTCTGGTGGGGGATTTTTTTTACCGTAAAAATTTGCTCGCACTTTATCGGTTTCCTAATCCCCCTTTGCCGTTCAGGAACCTTTGCGGTCCTACTTATTTGACGATTTTAAGGCCAAACAACCGACGTTGTTTTTCAATTCCTTGCTGGTTTAGGTAAAACCATGCTGGCATACCTGTTGTTGGCAGCAATTAATTCCCCTTTTTTTATTATTAATATTATTAGATTTTATTTTTATTTTTTCTTTGTATTTACAAATTTGTGCGTTCATAAGGGAACGACAATATAGCGTGTTTAACCCTAAAAAAATATTTTCATGCCATGGCGATACAGCCTTCCCTGTCCAAAGTTTCATTAAAATTTACTTCAATTCACGGTACTTATTTCTGAGACACTCTGTACAGAATACCAAATTCCATGAATAAAACCTACTGCCGCCCTAATTCACTGACATTGTCGTCGTTTTGGTACAGCTCAAACCAGGTCGCAAAGTTACAAACAAAAAACTGGGCAAATGACTTGAAGGTCTTCTTGTAAGCTGCCAGCTTATTGGCGCAAATCAGCGCCTCGTCCTCATTGCGAGTCACAGTAATCTTGAAGCTGAGAAGGACGGGAAGATCTTTCATATGATCAGGAATCGCAGCTTTCATGTGGTTTGTAATAGTTTGTTCCCTTTCCACAAGGCTCAGTTTCTGCGCAGATAAGTTCAACTGCTTGGCCGTGGACTTTCTGCCGTCCCACAGGCTATACTTGCAATTGCATGCGAAGACTGTGACTGTCTGGTTGTCTGCATGCTCCTCTTCAGTTGTAACGGTGAAAAGCAGAAACGTTTCCAGGGCAATTCGTAGAAACTCTATAAGGTTTTTGAACCACTCCGGGCCACCGATCACCGCCTCGTGAATGACTACTTGAAACGAGTCAGCGTTTTCGTGCACTGGCTGTTTTTTGTAGTCGCATGGGACTTCAGTCAATAGTTTATACAGCACGGATTTTCTGCTGGCGCAAATTTTCTTGCCCAGCCTACAAAAGAGCACCAGTCGCCTGAGCATGGGACCAGTTACTGTAATGGTCACGTTTTTGTTGAGATCCAGGGGATCTTGTACGCAAACTGTACGACTAACAGCCAGCCCATTATCTTCGTTGCCTGCCATGCTTGCTTGGAGAAATTTACAGTTCGCTTGCTCTGAGGGCGATTGAAAGGCTTCTTTTAAAATTGACTTTCCCAGATAAGGGCAAATAACTTCCTGGTGGTAAGGATATTCTGCGTAGAACTTGAAGAATTGCTCCACCAGCTCCAACAGGAGCGCTTTCGTCAAGGCCTCACTTCGGAACTGAGCCATGGGCGCAAACGGCGGCTTAGAATGATGGGGAATGCTCCAAAAAGTCTGCTGTTTCACTTGCTGAATTGACTCAACGGTTGGGAGGTAGTAAGGACTTTGTTGTAAGAAAAAAATAAACATCATCGTGAAGGCGTAATTCGAAAAAAACTGACTTTGGCCCTTGAAATTGTGGCATTTCGCCCAGTACTTCAAGACCAGCATGGCCTGTTGCACTTTCGGATCAATGCTCATATAGTAGCGAATAAGCTCGCTATTGAACACCCCCAACATGTTGTTAATGTTAATGTCGCACTGTATCCCAGTCTTCAAATGTACGCATCGGACTATGGGCACGTTGGCACTGGGAATAACGAAGCAACAACCAAACCTGTGTGATCTCACCAAAATCTTCTTAATTTCACGCAGAATGGGAATATCGTCCGGCTGTGCAAACGGCTTCACATTGGCCAGATATACGTCGATGTCGCTGTTGCTGAAGCCCAATTCCGTCACAGTGGAACCAAACGGGTGCACTTCCATATTGAAAAACTTTTCCCCCAAAAACTGGCGCAGATCCTTACAAATCAATTCGTACGCTTCCACCTCCTGGGCCCTTCGATTCGGCTTTAGCTTTGCAATCATAACACCAAATTCTACCTCAAAGTCGTCCACGTCTTTCAATCCAGTGACTATCGCTTCGAAAGTTTTATCATCAGTTCTGTCCTGTCGCACTGGGCCTGCAAAAAAGCACATTTTTCATAAATTAATGCCTTAAATATGAATGACAAAAGAAGCTAGGTCCAAATTACCAAATAAAATCGAATCAGGCCTACAAATTACACACTATTTACTGAAAGTCCGAATTATCGAGGTCGCGTTGTAACTAATTTATGCCTAATTCTTACCAAAAGCCTTTTTATTTTCTTTGTATTTGACTAAAAGTCGTCGCCCATTCAAATAGTGGCAGTTTTTCGAGAGCACCTTTTCCACAATGGATTTTTCGTTGAAATCCAACAAGGTAAAGTCGTACCCAAAATGCACCCATACTACCGGCCCAAACTGCGAAAAATACTTAACCAAATCGGCCTGCAACGTGTGCTGTGGATAGCCTGCAACATTTTCAATAATTAGCGTTAAAATCGTCAAAATTCGGCCAAAAAAAGCGTACCCCGCACGTAAATTCCTGGCCTTTGAAAATTTTTTTTTCCGCTGATAGTGGTGGCTTTTGCAACCATTTGGTGTGCTGGCTGATTGTTGTGAATATCATAAGCTTTCTTATTGGGAAAATTCATATTGCAGTTGGCGCAATGGTACACGGTACTGGCATTTTCACTATCGTTTCCCATGGTTAATTGTTCCACAGCAAATGTCCATATAGATCGCAAACTCTGCTAAAGTAATGGGGAACAATCAAACCTTGTTCATTGCCTGGGCTGAGAACTACCCCATTTGATGACAGGAAAAACGGAATTCCTGCTTCAAGGGCCGCTTTCAGATTGACGTAAATAAACACCTGACAATTGCTTCTAATGCCACTAATAACACTTTTATCGCACGGTAAACCTTTGGCAAAGTGTATGTGGTTTCTAGACATGCGACTGAGCCCCTCGCGCTTTATTTTCGCCCACTTTCCAAAGTAGGTTCCATGAATCACCTCGAATTGTCCAGGTTCCCTTATGGGCACAAGGCTCAGCTTATCAAGGCCCTAAAATTGAAACGAGTTTCCTTCACCGACCTGGGCAAGTAGACGAGCCGCACTCACTTGAATAGAATGCCCTTGGTTGGCACAGATTTCTAGGGCACCATTAAAAACTCTGAGACTAAATCGCTGTTTGTCACTGCTATCCACCACTCGTTTTATATCCTCAACGGTGCAGTTGTGAAAATATCTATTCTTCAACAGCTCGTCGACCGCAACGTAACCCTCCTGGCTGATGCAAAGGTGCTCCTCTCTGGCCCTGTGCCTCAAAATGCGTGATAGGCTTTTGCTTAAGACAATATCGGATTTATTCTGCGAAAAAAACAGCTACTATAAGCAACAGCAAAGCATAAAAATTAGGTAGATTGCTGACTCACAGTCATAAAGCCCACAGTTAAATCCACTGCGGAAAATTAGTAATTAAACGGGGCTCCGTTAACTAGCGCTAAGCAGACGTCAGCTAATGAGGTTAGAACCATGTTAAAATGATAGAACAAGACATGCACAGATCACAGAGGTTACTCTGTTATCCATGATACAAAGAATACAAAGTAGGATCTTGCGGCGATTTGCGTGACGTCAGTGGAAATCAGTCTTTGTCAACATTTAATTATTTTTTTATAAATCTTATTACCTTATAATTACAAGATGCTTTGCAGCAGATTTTAGACTTGAAAATTAAAAGTAACGAAAATGTATTTATTTTGCAGACTAGCACAGTTGCCAGTTGTGCAATAAAGTATAGCGTTAGTTGAAAATGTATCCTTGCAGAAATAGTACATTACGATTCACGAGACGGAAGTTCAAAAAATGACCCAATGTTACTTTCCTATTATTTACAACGGAATATGCGGTTTGTGGTGCCGCGAATATGTAAATTTTAATACAAATGAAATGAGTACACAGCTCATTTTTTATATTTCTGAACCGACACTTAAAAGTAGCAATCAATCTACAGTACACTTTCGTTGGACATTTAGTAGTTGTACCAAATGCAAAATTGTTCAGTTGTTTGTCTACAAAATTCCCAAACACGCCCAAACCCATTCTTCCCATGATACAATGAATTCATTGTTTCGTTTGGCTTACCCTATTTGGCGAATTACACTCTGGCAACACGGCAAGCCAAAACGCCGAAAATCAAAGATTTTGTAAAGACTTCTTTAGGGTTTGTTTCTTCGCAATAAGCCCAAATCACGCTCTAAACGCGATTTTGAAAGCATTGAACTCTACAACGCTACAAACCATATCCTCATATGACTTTCCACTTTTGAACTATTGCGTTTTAAATTCAATGAAAATCTGTTTAGATTACTAAACTAGGTTACATGCCTTTTAAATGGGATCAGCTGCTTTATGGTAATGCCGGAAAGCAAATGACAATGTCAACTTCTGAAGTGTGAGGTTATAATTCCATGGTAAATAAACAAACAACAAACTTTACAGTCAATTAAATGGAGAAAAACATGAAACGAGTGTTTGTAACGGTGGGCACTACGAAATTCCCCAAACTAATCGATGCAATAACTCGAAGCACTACTCTAAAAACCCTCCAGGACAGGGGCTATAATTTCGTTCAAGTTCAAACTGGTCGCGACTTTCAAGGGGTGAATTTGGAGGCGGAAATCAAAGCCACAGTCGAACAGCAAGGAACATCCTGGACAGTGCAGCTAGCTGACTGTAGCCTAACGCTGAAATACCACGAGTACTTTGAACATTTTGAGGAGGAGATTCGGGCGGCTGATCTAGTGATCAGCCATGCAGGGGCAGGGTCCTGTTTGGATGCACTCAGGCTGAACAAGCCGCTGATTGTTGTAATCAATGAGGATCTAATGGATAACCACCAGACAGAGCTGGCGAAGCAATTGGAGAAGAATGGTCACGTTTACTTTTGCGTGCCCAGCACGTTAGCAGCCACTTTACGCTTCGATTTGACGAAACTAGTGCCCTATCCGAAAATCGACGAGAAACTTTTTGCGAATTACTTGGACAAGTGCTCTGGATTTGTGCAATAATAAACTATGAATAAACCAGTACCAGGAAAAACATGCATGTCTGGCAACGATGTCCATAGATAGGAAATGCATAAGATAACCTCTTGGGGGCACTTAATGAATAAATAAATAGTTATCATACGGCAGTTGCTTAATGTTCAAAAATATCCTCCACTGCAGAACTGTTAAACCTCTAGTCCTGCACCGTTCAACCAGAATGCAGTGCGGGCAGACGATTGTGAGTGTAGCCCAATTCACTGCAACCAATGATAAAAACGCCAATCTCCAAACTGTCTCCAGATTAGTGCAAAATGCCTCTTCACAAGGGGCTAAAGTGAGTTTCCAGGTCAAGTTTTCACTGCTAATCGCTGTGTTTAGATGGTTTTTCTTCCAGAGGCCTGCGACTACATTTCCAGAAACAAGGATGAGCTAATCGCTCTATCGGAGCCTTTGGATGGTCCTCTAATGACAGCCTATAAAACGTTGGCTCGCTCATTTAATGTCTGGCTTTCTATTGGGGGATTTCATCAGAAACTGGAAGGGGTAAGGGATGAATACAATGAAAGCCAATTTGGCTACAACATCACTAAGGATTGAAGCTAATTCTTCATAATCAATGAGACACCCTATCTATTTCAGAACAGAGTATGTAACTCGCATGTCCTCATCAACCACGAAGGCACAATTCTGGGTCAATACAGGAAAATTCACCTTTTTGATGTGTCAATACCAGACAAAAACATCCACTTAAAAGAATCGGATGCCATCACAGCAGGATCTTCAATCCTGCCTCCTTGTTCCACGCCAGCAGGAAATGTAGGACTCTTAATCGTATCCTTTTTTCCGTTTTTGAGCGCCCTTCGTTCGTTTAAAAATCTTTCTTGACTAGAACGCTCAGTGCTACGATCTGAGATTTCCGGAACAGAGCACAATATTGCGCTCTGAAGGCGCAGACATTCTAACATTTCCCTCGGCCTTCACTAGAGAAACTGGCCAGGTACATTGGGAGCCTCTGCTCAAGGCCAGAGCCATTGAGAATCAATGCTATGTGGTTGCAGCCGCTCAATATGGAGAGCACAATGAATCGAGAATTTCGTTTGGACAGTCCATGGTAGGAACCGCTCGCGGCTCAAAGGCTCGGAATGTTGAAGGCTTTTCCAGATTATAGATCCAATGGGGAAGGTGATAGCTGAATGTCCAAAATACTCAGCAGAGTGTCCGACTAATGAGAGCATAGCAGTCGCCACCATTGACTTGGAATTGGTGGCAAACGCGAGAAAGAACATGCCAGTTTTCTCGCACCGGAGGAACGACATCTACAGCCTAAATACGATCAGGACTAAGGAAGACATTAAGGATGATCGAATGTATTCGTTTGCGGACAAGTCAATTCCTGGCAGCACCGTATTCTACAAGTCAGCGTACTGTTTTGCCTTCACGAATATTCGATGCGTGGTCCCTGGGCGTAAGTACAAACTTTTGTTTCCTTATAAACATGCATAAACCTACTTCCAAATGGAAATTTGGCAAAAAACACGCAGTCCCAAGTGTGATTTTTGCAAAATTTTGGGAATGAGAACATCAGCTTACTTCTAGATGTACTGGTATCCACTATAAGACGAGTACAGAGGCTGCACGACATGACCCAAGAAGAGATAGCTGATCTTTTCCAGACCGCCGTTAAAATTTCTAAAATTATGGAAGCGGCTTACCAAGCCGCATCAAGCACGGTTTGTGTCCAGGATGGCGAATATGCCGGCCAAACTGTCCCGGTGAGTTAGCGGCGAGGCTTTAAAGGGGCGATCGTTACATGGTTTGGCTTTCAGCAAGTGCACGTGCATATTTTACCACGCAAAAAGGGCGACTTTGCCAACAATGACGATATTTATTCGCGTCTGGCCGACCAGGACAGAGACACCAATCCGACGTCCAGAAGAACACTGCAGGAACAAGTGGAAGAAGCCGCTTATCTAAGAACGTTTTTTCTTTGATCAGTGCGAAATTTGTTGAAATAAATGAAGAGTTACAAGAATCCCATCAGTTTGCAACATATTTCCCAAATTGGTTAAAAATTTCTAAACGGTGAAGAAATAGAAACGAAAATGTGAAAATTTCGCGGGCCTCGAAGTCAAAGAAGTAACCACCCTGCATCTAAAAAACGGTTGGAGCTCTTTAGCCCTTAGAGCCTTTTCCATAGCCCGTCTCGAGACCTGTCTTTTTTACTACTAGGGTTTCTTCAGAAATTTCCAACCCCTGAAGAAACAGAAGCGAATTCTACTGGAAATAAATAAAGCCGGAAACAACTACAGAACATTCCCCCTGGAGCATGTTCTATGGAAACAACCTGGCATCTATGCTATTCCAGTCATTTCCCGCTGTCACTCAAAACTTGACAAATTAACCTCTAAATTGGCATAAATATTACCAGATTAACATTAGAAAATCTTTGTGCAAAAAATTAAACGCGCGATGGCAGACGATGCCGTTGTAAATTTGCGACAAAAGTATGTTGACGACCCGAGAATAGCCTGCCAATATGGGGTGAAGTGCTACCAGAAAAGCCAGGTGCACCTGCAGAAATACAAACATCCTCCTCCAAAGGTAACAACCTATATATTCCATAAAAGTCCTGCAATGTTTCCGTTTCAGCGACCCTTGCAAGACCGCAAGCAACCCCCAAGCAAAAGGCTGAAAAAAACTTTAGACGATGAAGAGAAACCCCCTCCAGCAGCCAGTCCGGCTCGCCCTAAATCGCCGCCAATTCTCTCTAAAGACAAAGAACTCAGTCGCCCAGATCTGGGGCGCACCGATAAAGACTTCAATGTGAAGCAATTCATCAAGGAAAAATTCCTGATGGAAATGCCAGAGGATTTTTACGAATTCTGGGAGTTATGCAAAAGCCTAAACGCCAAACATCCGGAAGAAGCGCTTAAAGAGTTCGGATTGGCCCTTGTGGGCCCCTACGATGTTCTAGCGGACAAGTTTAGCGACGTTCCAGAACAACCGCAGGAAAACTACTTGCTTCATTGGCGGTTCTACCACGACCCTCCCGAGTGCCAAACCGTGTTGAAAGGCGACGAAAAAACCGGCTATCATTTGGGGTATTTCAGAGACGATCCGCAAAAGCCGCCGGTTTTCCTGGTTGCGAACGAAGCCAATAACAACGGCCAGTTTACCGTGATGGGCGACAACATATTCGCCTCAGTCAAGTATGAACGCGTAAAGAAACCTAATTAAAACAGCTAATTGAATGTGTCTTAGCTTGTACTTGGAGGCGTTCAAAAAGAGCTTCGACCCCTTCAAAAAAATGAAACTACCCCAGCTGCAAAGGGGCTTAAAAGAAAAAGCGCAGCAGCTGCAGCTGAATCTCGAGGCTAAACCCCAGCGAGTCCGCGACCGCAATAGGCAAATCGTTGCCAGAACCTTCAATAAAATTGGAATGGTCGTGCCCTACAACAAAAAGTTGGTTCACATCGCTGGTAAACAGGTGAAAGTGTGCTAAACATGTGGTGTTTTTAGGACTGAGGTGGGGTATCGAGAGCTGACGCTGAGCAACAAGGAGCTTCAGAAGTTGCTGGACAACATCCAAGCCGCTTTGCCGGATCAAAGACTCAGCCTCCTATCAGAACTGCAGGGGTTATTGACTAATGTGACGATAGCTACAGATGAGTGTGACTTTGGGGCCGGCATCGAGCTAGGACTGAACATTTTGGCGCATGGCGTCGATTGTTTGAATCGAACAATCTCCCAATGCCTTGCCATCAACTACCGACTGATTCAGCGTGAGGAATTTGCTAAAATCATTGAAAGCCATATGGACAATCGACGACGAGGCCCTGATTTGAGTATTATTTAATCAAAATTTGATGTATGTTTGTGTTATGAGTAAAGACTTGACTTCCATCTGAATCCCAATCATTTCAACTACAATTCCAAAGCCCATTTACCACTTGTCTTAAACTTTGTTTTCGATCAATTGAAGCTGTAACTGGCCCTGAATGGCTTCTTGATGAGACTCGATGTGGAACTTGGGTTTTAATTCATAGCAACCGTGCAATAGGCTGAAAGTTTCCAGCAAAAAATGTTGCTCTTGATAAAATGTCGGGCGGGGCAAAACTAGCCAGCGACATTTTTTTACCCACTTTGATGAGTGATTTTTGAAAAAAAGTCAAAAGTAAATCAGAAAATCTCCAAAACTCAAAGGGTTGCAAAATTTTGACACACCACTGGACATAGGAGATCAAAATGCATAAAGAAACGTGTCAAAATCATCAAAAACGCGTAAAATTTGAGCACTTTAATGTTAACTGGAGCCACTCCAGTTGGGTGGAATTCCTTAATTAATTAACCTTAATTAACTTAAAACCCAACAAACTATTCTGACTAAACTGATTCTTTGGATACGAAACGTTTCGAATCGATGCCTTCCTCAGAATTCGTGCCGTTACATTTTAGAGCGACGCTACTGATTTCGCATATCTTTGCAAGGCACCTTTGCTAGCACTTACTGCTGGCCCGTTACTGCTTTACAAAGAGCCGTGTTTCCTCTAGGGACGGTGAAAGTTTTGAATCAATGTCTTCATCAAGGGATTTACTAAAAATGTTTGCAAACAATCTAAAAAAAACATTTTTTGGGCCACCCTGTATGCACTGCCTTTCGCATTGAAAAAAAAAACATCAGTCAAACCAGTTAAGATATAATTTTCTCGTTAATGTAGAGACGGTTAAACAACATTTGGCATTAAATGTCATCGCAGAGGACTTTGCGCGAAATGACGCACTTGTTCAACGATCCTCGTATCATACTAAAATGAGCAAAGGACCTCTCGCTTGACTGGTTCCCTCTCACTCCGTACCACAGCCGCTACCAGGGCGAGTAGCCTGGGAATATACGCATGCAGCTACGAGGTGAATCCAAAAAATTCGCGACTGATCTGTTGTCCTTCACTACGGTTATTTTCACGGCTAAATTTAATGCAAAGCCCCCAGTCGTAAACACCAAAGCCACTTTTGTTCCTTGCAGTGCGTCAGCGCTAATCCATCTTCCATTATTCACTACAATCAATAGACCGGATGCGGATTGACCGCCTAAAGAAGCCGATGGGATGCTGGGCTGCTTCATTTGTTCACCGTTACTTCCAGGTATTACGCGAGCACAGGTAAGGTCATAGTACGAGCGCTTGAGTGATTTGACACAAAAAAATCCTCAAATTTGCGCATCTAGTGAAAATTTCACTAAACCATCACCACCCCAAAATGCGGCAAACGAGTTTTAAATTCTCAACTGGAGGACTTAGTGCTTCAACTGATCGATTTAATACGGGAAAATATAAATAGTCCGGTGTCCCTGGACTAAAAAAGTACCTCGTGCGCCTAAACACCAACAATGAGTGGGACATCTGCGGGACATGGAGGAGGAAGCTTCAAATTCAAATCGACGCTAGTGTAGTCCGAACCTGACCTTCCAAAGCGAGCGTTTTGCGTTATTTTTATCTGGAGCACAGTTCAATAAGCAAAATGTTTATTTATCGGCAGCAATTAGCGGCGTTTAGGTGCTGAGTGGGTTTTTATGGTGATTTTCAGGCAAGTTTATTCAGTAGATATTGGAAAAATGCAACCAATGTGTAAAATTCGCACACATCAACTTATTTCAAATGTGGTCATTTGTTCCGAGAAGCGCGCCCTTAAAATCGGTCACATCGACTCTTCAAACGCTGTTAGAAAAACACACAAAAGACCAATTGAAGTCAATATTGATTCAGCAAGATTCGATTGGTCGATCAACACTAGCCCAGTTGCGCTAAGTTCAATATTGACTTAATCGGGCCAATGGACTAGTTTCTCAGCCACCTACCAGTCCTTGCGACCATTCAGAGTTCAGCTCTCGATTCTCAACTGGGAAAAAACCCGACTACTAATAACTAGTAACAAATTTCCAGCCGGACCTATTGCAGATAAAGTGCAATTTTAACAACAATTTTCGGATCAAGGGTCACTTGAAACTGATAATTTCTCTGCTTGATTTCAGGGCTTAATGTAAGATGTCCAGCAGCGGATACACGTGCATCAGAACAGTATTCTGCTGCGTAAACGTCCTATTTTGGGTAAGTACTGTCAACAACAAGCAATTCGCTTAAGATACGTGTTTACTAGAGCGATCAATCGACTGTATGTTTTAATAGCTTCTTGCAGGTTAACACGTGACTAAATTTAGAACAAGCGCGTATCAATTGTTAACACTCATTAGAATGTACAGGGCGATGCAAGTCAACGATCTAAATTTAGTTGATGACCGCTCTGAGTACAGGAAAATGCTTTTTTTCTGCTGATTTTAATGCAAAAGTGAGAAATCCTCTGGCGACATTTTCGCTTTTGGCGCCGCGATGTTCTTTGTGAACCACAGGCTTTACATGGAAGAGTCATAGGTTTGAGCCTCGATGTCTTTTTTCGCAAGTTTGTAAGAGTATTTGATAATTCAACTTCAAGTTCAAGTGAATGATGAGAACGTCAAGTTCATTCAAAATGGCATCATTTTCGTCAAACTTAGATCGATCTTTCAAATTCAGGTCTTCATTGATTCTGATTTTGTAATTGGTTGTAATGAATAATTGAAGAAGAACCAAATGTTGAAGTTGCAAAATTTTCGGATTCACCTCGTAACTACAAGCGTATATTCCCTATATTCGCCCTCAGGCTAGTTGCCTGAGTTGCGGCTATGATAAGGAATGAGAGGGTAAGAGCGGTCGTTATGGGAACCTGTGGGTCCTTTTCCCACTTTGTCATTATACGAGGCCGGTTGATTACTGCGATAAGTTGTAACCGTTCACAAATTTGTATATGCTAATTGTGTATAGAAGTATTTCAAAGACCTGACCCATATTGACCAACAACACAACACAACAGTCTCGACCACGTTAGGACCACGTTTATTCACTTGTGAATGAGCATGCTTGGAGTAAAGAGGGCGATAAATTACAACCAGTTACTACGACAAAATTTTCAAGGAAGCTTTTTATAGAAATCTAAACCTAAGAACTAATCGCAAATGCGCTATACGCTATTCAGTTTGACTGAAACTATTGAGTTTTTCAGCCTTTTCGGCTGTGAAATTAAAATGTCTTTCCGACGTGTCGCACGCACGAGCGACCTGCATCTTCAGAAGTGTGCTTACTCCGCTTGTGAGCATACTTCTGCAAAATATTAAGCACTCGTACTTGCTAGTATTGAAAGTTTCCGGATTAAGCCGATATTGCCAGTATAGTAGGCCCTATTTTTGACAACTCAATGTAATTCCAGCGAAACTGGCAGGCCTACAAGCGCTAAATCGCCGGTTGTATGTATGTATTTGTGCAATGTTTTTCGACAATTGCGCTTAATGTGTCGAATGTAAGGAGCACCAGAGTACCACACATTCTATTCCAGACATTCCACTTGGAGATATTAAAGTGGATTAAATTGAGGAAAAGTTGGGCGATTAAAACAGTAGTAAAATGACGCTTAAAAAAAGCTCTTCTGAAGCATTAAAGGCCACTAGAACACCTGTAATTCAGTACAGGCCATATCTGAAACAAACCCAGATCGGTTTCAATGCGTATTATAAATGTTGTGGGAACCACATACCGAACTGTTCAACACGCGAAAGTAAACAAACCTTAATGATCACTTTATTTGGATAATTGCAAAGTTTTCGGCATGTAGCGCTTGTTTATGTTGCAGTTGACTGGTTGTGCCCTTTTGGGCATTGGCGTGTGGCTGAGGGTGAGCTATGAGGGCTACGCCACCCTTCTGCCTCAGTACGCGCTACTGAGCGCTGACATTGTGGCCATAATCATCGGGGCGCTGACCATTGTTTTATCGTTTTTCGCATGCTGCGGATCGTGGCTGCAAAGCAGATGTCTGCTAATCACGGTAAGTAGTCGCAATCACACGCAGAAGTTGTTTATTTCTACTGGAAGTATGTGTGTTGCATGGCCCAAGTCGGTTAATACAGGGTGGTTTAATTTTGGGGTTGCAGAACAATGTATTATTTGTCAAAAATTTGCAATTAATCAATTGAAAATGAGTCCTCGATCCAAAAAATACAAGAATCTATAAAAAAAATCGCCTTGACACTCTGTACTTGGAAAACTATTTGGCAAATTTGCCTGAAACAATATGCTAGAGAATTTTGTAGAGAACCATCCTGTAAACCGCCATCAAATTCAATTTGAATTGAACAGACTGCCTGGTTTGTTTGAGTTAAACAACGTGTGCGATTCATTTAAATTCCTCCGGATGATCAATAAACCCGGTATTTTTAGACGGTGCCCAACAATCCTAATTCCTGCCTGGTTTGTTGACCTTTCCCATTTGTTCCTTTGCAGTACTTCATTTTGGTGGTGCTGATGTTTATCGCCGAATTTGTGCTGGGATCCCTAGCCTTTGTCTACAGGGACACCATCAAGCACACCTTTACCGAGAAGCTGCAGGACGGGCTCAGCCACCATTATAACATGTCTCAAAGCCCCAACAACCTGCTGCAGGTGTGGGATGATGTCCAGATCACCGTAAGTTTTTCAGCGGTTCCATCCTGCTCCTACTCCCCAACTCAATGAGGAATTGATCTCAGTTTAAGTGCTGCGGAGTGGTCAACTACATGGACTGGCACATGATTGACGCATGGCCGGAACATCGATGGGTGCCAGACACTTGCTGTCTTCCTGCGGATTATGGCATTGGATGTGGACGCAAAGGCAGCGACATTCTCTACAAATCCGGCTGTTACGAGCTGATCTACAAGTGGTTCAAGGAGCGCCTGATGGTGGTGGGACTTGTGGGACTCATTGTAGCCTTCGTGCAGCTGTTCGGGCTCATTTCGTCCATGTTGCTCTTTTGCACTGTGAAGCATCGAAGGCGGTCCAGAACGTACAAGTCGTATCAGTAGGAGATTTCCTAGTGTGGAGGACCGGACTTTGTGTTGTTGCACTGAGCACTGTGATTCACATGGATTTGGGTCTCAAATCCAAGTGTTACTTACTTATGATTTAAGTGTGTAAAAGGGATAGTAGTCTGACCAAAACGCCCGGCTATGAGATTTGAGGGGTTTTTCCGAATGGGAGTAAATCTAGCGTAGTCAAGGTGTTAGTGGTAATAAATACGTTGAATATGCAAAGCTTAAAACGTTACATACGTCAGTTTTCACACCTAATATTTCCATTATCGAAGTTTAGATATCGCTCTTACCATTAAACTGCACATTTTTGCATTCAAACTGCCCTTTCCATATCCACAAAGCCTCAAGACTTCAAAGGCTTTGAAAATATTCAGTTTTTACGTCGAGTGGCAGCTAAATGTCAGAATTACCCGATTTGAAAAAAGCATTTTTTTCGAAAAAAGCGTCGTTGTGGTTGAAAATATTGCACAAAACAAGAAACCGGACGTACTTTTGTAAAAAATCAACAATTTTTCGCAGATCAATTCAAAAATGCTGGCAATCTTAGCGATTTTTATGGAGCCAAACAGTGGCAGTTTTCACACCTAATATTTCTAAGCATTTTGTGCCAATTTCAAAGCCGTTAACAGTCGCTCTTACCATTAAACTGCATATTTCCGTATCGAAATAGTCCTTTCCATATCCAAAAAGCCCCAAAACATCAAAGACAGGCACTGTTGCAAATAGTCACCTCCTCTATCAAGTGGCAGCTAGACGTCAGAATTTACCGATTTCAAAAACCCGTTTTTCCGAAAAAATCGCCGATTCGGTTGAAAAAATAGCACAAAACGGTAAACCGGACCGTCTTGTTTAAGAAAATTAACAATATTCCACAGATAAATTGGAAATTACCGGAAAATTTTGAGGTTTGTACGGAGCTATGTACCCACTGACACTTCACCACCGTCAAACAACCGACTACCTGACGTGCCTTTGGAAGGTTATAATTCGATGTTTTTGTTCACTCACAGCTTTTTGCGAAAATTAATCAACAGCAGTATTAAAACAAAGCAACTAAACAAAAACAGCATATATTTAACTGCTCTTAGTGCGAACTAAATCATCAGGCTAAGCCGACTAGTTTTCCCCCAATCTGGTTGAGGGAGTTTGTGATTTTCTTGCCCGCCGTTTTGGCCGCCTTGAACGGCGCCTGCAAGTCACAAACATTCCAGTTTCCCCAGTTTATGCCAATTGGTTTATTCCCCCATGCCCAACAAGGTACTTACATCTACCGCCGCATTCAGAGCGTTGGATATTCCTTCAACTGCGGCCACCAATGCAGTGCCTGCAGCACGGCCTTTTCCTCCGTCATTCCCGTATTTTTCATGCTCCTGAATGGTGTCCACAATCGGCTTGGGGTGCAGCAGATTGGCAACGAACTGCTGCAGCTTTGCGTACTTGATATCGTGCTGGATCGGGATGGATTCTTTGGCGGCCGACTCCAACCGGGCGGATTTTCGGCCGGAGTCCGGGAACGGAGTTACAAACTGAATAGTCTAGAAGCACACACAAACTAGAGGAACAACTGGATGGCTAAAACCAGTGGAAATACCTTGGAATTAATGACGCTGCTGATTTTTTCGTCGACAATTTCCCCCAAGTTGGATAAAGGGGTTAAATTGGGCACCGCAGGGCTCTCGTAGTCATTAGCCACCGAATACGATTGGCTATAAACTGGCCCCAAAAGGGCCACCGCGGCAAGAAATCGAAGTACAGGCATAGCCATCTAAATTTAAAGCACTTGTCTGATTCTTGGACTCACCTTAGACGCCTGTTGATACTTACCTTAAAAGACTGCAACTGGTACTAAAGAAAGCAGCTCGCGCAATTAACAAAAAGGAAAACTGAACCTTGAATTACTCAACGTTTCCTCTTGCATTAGGCGAGTTACCACACTCACACACACACTTTTCTTTCACTGACGCGAAGACATGGAAGGAATTGGCGGCTAAAGTTCTGCAATAATCGACGAGGAACTTTCACTTTTTATGCAAATGTCGCTGCTACCGGCGATATTTATTGTTTTTGCGCAAAATTAACTTCTAATTCATTTAAACCTGGTTTTATTAGAACATTGAGTTACTGGCTTAATCAAGGAACGAAGTGGCCGGGAATTTGTCGCCCTTGTACAGGTCTACAAACAGCTGAAGCGCCTTCTTCAAGTCGAACGCGCATTCCTCCAAACACCTTTAAAATAATCGAGTTAAATTCTTTCTGAGCCAAATACCGGGCAATTGAAACGTACTTTTTGGCCCATTCCATTTTTAGATTCGTCAGCTGACTGAGGGTAGAAACCAGCTCGTTATATTCGCTCTCAGACTGCGGCTTGGGGATCAGCTCTTTCTCTACAACCTTAGCGGGTTCCTTAGTGACCTGGAAGGAGTTTTTTTCCTGGTAGGAGAGGCTGTTGTATAGATGAAGCAAGTCATTGGTAATGACGCACTGAGCATCTTTAATCTCCAGTGAGAATGAGCGCGTGAACCCCAAAAGCCGCGCTCTTTCCAGCATAGATTTTGGGCATTCACTACACACCCCTGTTACCACAACAACAGCACAAGTATCCTGAAATCAAGCAGTTAGTTGGCAAGAACTATCAGCTTCCAAGAGCGTTGCCTTACGGTTTTATAAATAAGATCCGTTGTGAAGGAATAGGGGTCGTGTTGGGTCGCAGGCAATTTCGTAGTGAAAACTTCCATGATGTTCTCTCGGCCTCGAAAAAGCCGCTCAAACGTTTTGGCAAAGTCCGCCGCTTTATTGAGGTTCCGTGCAATGTTGCTATAGAGCTTCAAGCTGAAATACATCCAGGTTTGAATTCGTTTATCATTAAGCCACCGGCTTAAATGAAGCTTACGAGGCGGCTCCTGATGAAATCTGACCGGATAGGTAAACACAGGTTAAGGAGAACATGGCGTTGCTGTGGTATAGTCCCTCTAGATCGCTTCTATCCCTGTCGTAAGCCGTGAAGAAGTACTCCAGAAATTGATTGACCAAGTCGGTACTGTTGCGGCATGCAAATGAGTTCTTTTTCGTGGTGGGAAACTTGTCTATTGATAATAGTTCGCCGTCCTGAAAATTCGTTACCATTTACTAGCTAAGTGAATCCAGTGGAAAACTCTAGATAACTCACCAACATTTCCAAAGTGGGACACACGCTTTTGATTTTGGACATATAAGACTTTAAGTCAACGTTACAAAGAGGGTTACCGGTCAACTCCAACTCTTTTAGCGAGAAATACTTCAGCGAATTCAAGTCGTTTAATTTGGAAATCTGCAATAAACTTGATTGACGCGTGTGTGTGACTGTGTCGCCCAATTCCTGACCTCGTTGTGGCTCAAATCCAGGCGTTTCACTTTTGAGCCGAAAAGAACATCCAAAGGCGTCAATAGACGGATGCAGTTGTTTGAGAGAATCACTTCTTCAGGGGCGAGAGCTTTAGCAATGTGCAAGACAAAGTACATGATTTTTGGCTGCGACAATGGGCAAAACTCCGTCAGATCTACAACATAAAGACCACCAGTGAAGACAGAAAAGCCGGTGATGAAGATAGACTTCGAGAGACTTACCGGGATCGTCGTGAAATCTATCCAAATTAAGAACTTTGGAGGTTGGATGAAATCGCTTGTTCAATACAGTGGACACGTTCTTCTGAACGTCGATTTTTATGTCATAGGTGTTTGAAAAGTTCAGCACTATAGACAAAGTCATCTGGAATTATACCAGTGCTCAATTAGCTTCAAACTGGGATTAAGTAGATAACTTTACCGGACTGTAGCCTTTCTCGATCGGATGGTCAACCACCAGTTGATTGTCGCACAGCTTCCGTATCGCAGCCTCGCAATTTCTCGCCATAAAGTACGAGTTCGCATTCAGTTGGTCTTTGGTATAAAACACCGGAATGAGGTCTAGCGGATGGACTCCGTCCAAAACAGCTTTGAGAATTTCGTTCCTGGACAGTCCATCGGTGTTAGTAACCTGAACAAAACAGAGGTTTATTATTGGGTAAGTGTTGCCAGCGGGACGCCAATTTTACTCACAATGAATCTGTGCCAGCATTTGGGGTTTTGTAAAAGAGCGCTGGTTTTTTGCAAAATCCCAGTTGATAGGGTTCGTGCGTTCAACAGCACAGAATCGGTATTGCGCTGCTGATTTGCTAAGGACACTAATATCATTTTTGCAACGGTTTTTACTAAATTACGGTATCTCAGCTTGTGTTGTTGACAAACACAAACATTAGGTTTATCTCACGGCCTGCTCACTCTCGTGCAATGACAGTTCTGCGTTAATTTAGTTTACTCAGACCACGGCGCGCTGTTATCGCGCCTCTCAGCTGATCGAAGAAGTTATTTTCAGGCTTGCCAGGTCTACCGTTTTACGGTGGGTCTCCCGTTTTCATGAGAGCTACTGCTCTACCGCTATGCCATAAGAACCTACTGCTAAACGTTACGTTAAACACTTTAAATATAACTATTATGTATTACACTATTTGTCAACAAATCAGCTACATTGCACCGCGATTGGCGATGGGATTACATGTTTTTTTTTTCGTTTTTCGTTTCCTAAAGCACGCCTCGGAGCTACGCTAACACCTTCTTGGCTGAAGACCACTTAAAAAGTTCGAAACGCTCAAATTTACAAACATTCAATTATCTCCCGTTTTGTTTTTAAATCGATTCTATAACTATCTATCTAATCT